AGAGTAGGTTATCCAGGAATACCTTTGAGAACATTAAAAAAAAAAAAAATCCAGTTGCCATCAAATAGATTCCAACTCATGGTGATCCCATATGTTGCAGAGTAGAAGATGAAAACTAGGGTTTTCAAGGCTGCAACCTTTCTGAAGCAGGTTGCCAGGCCCTTCTTCCGAAATGCCTCTGGGTAGGTTCGAACCACCAACCTTTCAGTTAGTAGTCAGGCTCTTAACCATTTGTGCCACAAGGACACAAGCAACCTGAATTATGAAGTCAGCTGGCCCTGGGAAGATCCAAGAGAAGAAATGTTCTGAGCAAAGAGAAAAGCAGGATCAGAGGCCCTGAGACAGGAATGAGTAGGCACATTTAAGGAGCTGTGAGAAGGCTAGAGTGACTCAAGCATGGTGCCCAGTAGGTACGTGCAGTGAAAGGTGGGAGAGGTGGACAGGGGCCGGACAGATCAGCATTTGGTCCCTGGGGAGTAGTTGGAGTTTGTTCTGCATGTGGTGTTCAGTCATAGGAATTTGAAGACATGGGGCTGGCTGAGATCACTCAGGGAGAGTATGTAGAATGAAAAGAGAAGAGAACTCCAGTATTTAATCAAAGGGGACACATCAAAGGAGACTGAGAAGAAACAACGAGGAAAGTAGAAGAGAAGACAAAAGAATGTGGTAAAGGAATGTAAGGAAAGAGAACTTTAAGATGGAAGGAATATTTCAGTGGCAGGTGCTTTAGAGAAAGAAGAGAAAGAAAGGGCTGGAAATGTGGATTTCGCTGAACAACATGGAGATCATTGGTAACCTTGGAGAAATTAGGCGTCCTTTATGCCTCCCTTTCTTTTACTCCTCACATCCAATCAATCAGTCAGTCAGTTCCCAGAGTGGTGAAGATGGAAGCTGAACTGCAGTGGATGAGTGCTAGCTCTAAGTGGTGGAAATGGGTGGTGTTTGGCTGATAGGATAACAGAAGAGGAAGGAGGAGGAAAAGCAAATTCCTAGCGAGGAGGGGCAGGAAGCAGGAACGCAAGGTGGCTACCAGTATGTAAGGAGCATTGATGAGAGAGATGTTGCTGGCTTTGTTAACTGAGAGTAGAAGGGTATAGGTGTTATCCTCTCTGAGTCTAATCACAAAGCACACTGGAATTTCTGCAGTGGTGGTTGAAGAGGGAGGAAGCGGAGATTAGGGTGAGGGACTGTTCTATAAGGCTAGTGCGGCAAGAGGGAGGAGAAAGGATGCTTGTCTGGTACCCACAAAGTGTGGCCAACTCCAGCTTGATTCAGCACAGCATTGTTATCCTGGGGCCTGTACCCCATAGCAGAGCCCCTGGGAGGTACAGTTAACGTGTTCAGCTGCTAACTGAAAGGTTGTTGGTTCAAGTCTCCCCAGAGGTGCCTCAGAAGAAAGACTTGGCAGTCTACTTCCAAAAAATCAGCCATTGAAAACCCTATGGAGCACAGTTCTACTGTGACACACATGGGGTTGCCATCACCATGGGTCAGAATCGACTCAGCAGCAGCGGTTACCTATACAGAGCAGAAGGTGGCAGGTGGCACCTGCGGCAGAGGTCCCCCAGTAAGGGAGCTGGCAAAAGCTAGGGTAGCACCAAGAGACAGAAGGGGCCACATAAACCGGAGATTGCAACAGCCTGAGACCAGAAGAACTAGATGGTGCCCGGCTACCACCAATGACCACCCTGACAGGGAACACAACAGAGAGTCTGTTGGAGCAGGAGAAAAGTGGGGTGCAGAACTCAAATTCTAGTAAAAAGACCAGACTTAATGGTCTGACTGAGACTGGAGGAACCCCAGAAAGCATGGCCCCTGGACCCTGTATCAACCCAGCACGAAATCCATTCCCGAGGCCAACTCTTCAAGGATTAGACTGGACTACAGGACATAAAATGATACTCGTAAAGAGTGTGCTTCTTAGCTCAAGTAGATACATGAGACTAAATGGGCAGCTCCTGTCCAGGGTGAGATGAGAAGGCAGAGAGGGTCAGGAGCGGGTTGAAGGGACACGGGAAATCAGGGGCAGAAAGGAGGAGTGTGCTGTCACAGCATAGGGAGAGCAATTAGGGTCTCATAACAATGTATGTATAAATTTTTGTTTGAGAGACTAACTAGAATTGTAAACTTTCACTTAAAATACAACAATAAAATTAAAAAAAAAAAAGGGTAGGAGTCAGGACTCCAGGGTGCAGTTGGAGGAGACTGTGACTTGGTCAGTGCACCCAGGCCCTCCAGCTTACCATCAGGCACACTGTATTCTCCAGCAAAACCCCACTTAAGAAGGAAATGACCTTGGACCAGTTGGTTATCTCCCAGACCTGGATAGCCTGATGCTCCTGAAAGCCTGTGTTAACCATTGAGACCCTGCAGTAGTTTCCACAGACTCCTCTGAGCTGAGCATTCTGAAGTCCAGATGGGCTGAGGGCAGGCTTATGAGTTTATACATGGCAGCCAGCCTTATATTGCTCTATAGCACCCACTGTGCTTATTCTTACATAACTTCTGTTCAGGCTGTTTTCCCATTTCTGTTGTAAACATCTGCTCCAAGGCTTACTCATCTTTTCCTTCCCCTGTAGCACCCTGCACATATCAGGCACTCCAGCAGATGCTCCAGGTTTAAAAATCTGCCAGGGCCACCACATTCCACACCCCCTGCCCCCACCTACATCATTCCAGTTAAACTTTGTGAGCAGTTGAAAAAAACGCCCGAGTGTTTCTTTGGCTAAAGCCAATTGGCGTTGCAAAATTGAGTTGTTACTTTGGAACTTGTCTGCAGCTGTTTGCATGTGGATATTGAAAGAGGGAGTGGTAGCTTTTATAATTGTTAAGGCAAAAAAGCATTCTGTTTCTAATCTGGGACAACCAGCTGACTCATCAAGTGCCTTGACCTCTTCGGTTTCCATCTTCCTCCTTAGGAGAATAGAAAACTCACCTCCAGGTCTAGAGCCCAGATCTGGCACTGTAGAACAAATAATTTTCCACAAGGAAAATAATAAAAACAACAAAAATTCAAGAAATATAGCCCTCATTTTTATTTTTTCATGCTAAATTGGTATGAATTTATCTTCCATAAAAGAAACTTTTCAAACAGTTATTTTATAAAGGGACCATTTTAGGAACATGATTCTTTTCCCCCTCTCCCCACTAGATGGCAGTAGCAAGCAGAAGAACCAACATTAAAGTTCTTCGATTGTAAGGATGATGCTCTTGAATTGGGTTCTAGAATTGTATGTAGCTAACCTCTGCCCTGCAGGTTCATTTGTCTGACATTCTTAAGTTTTTCTTGAGACTAATAACCTAGGCACTCAGATACGGATTTAAAGATATAATGACTCAGCCAGGATTTATAGAGCATCATGCAGTTGGTTTTGGTTTGGTGCAGTTAAGAGATAAGAAAATCTTGCAGTGGGAAAAAAAGAGAATGGAGCATAGAATTGGGTCTTAGAGGTTAGACAGTTGCCCTCCTGTTTCCTTGCTTGTTGCACATTTGTATCCAGCAGTTGGTGTACTACTGAGCACGTAGTGCTGGCGGAGGGTCGAGACACCCAGGTCAGAGAGCTCCTGCCCTCTGGCTCTTTGGCAGGTGGTGGTGGGTCAGTGTGGCCCTTTTCTGCAGCCAGAGGACAACAGCACAAAGTGCTGCATGCCGCTCACTGACTCCTTCGAAGTCTATTTAAAGACAATAATTAGAAGCTGTTATTTGGGGTTAGTGGAGGGAGGGATGGAATCAGATGGGGCATGAAGGACAAAAAATTCAATGAAAGTAAACATAGGAAGGAAACCCTGCTTGTTCAAAAGATGAGAGTTGGCTCCTCTTACAGTTGGGGGAGGAATCATGTTTGTGACAGCTGAAAACGAGGCTGGAGAAATAGTGGGAAGGTACCACCTTCTCTCCTCCCCTTTCCTGCCATCATATTCTCTTCTTCAAAGTCTCCCCCTGCCCCTGAACTCTCATGGTGCTTATTTCTAAATTATTGCATAGAGCATTTATCTTATTCTGTAGTAGTGTGTGAATATGTCCTGTGTCCTAGCATGCTGGAAGCCTATGAAGAGGAGGGGTCACCTGTTTGTCTTTACAGTCCCCATAGCACCTGTCCGTGGTACAAAGTAGACTCTTAATAAGGTTAGTTGAATTAATCTAGTTGAGAAGAAAACTGAGGTGCTTAAAGCAGAGAATAGTGGTACCAGGCCAAACAGGATTGTGTGCAGTGACTGGTCTTCATAGGAAGTGGTAGGTTTGTGAGGGTGAGTGGCCAGAAGTGGAAGCAGGCACAAAGTAGGAGATGCTGGGAGATGCTTAGGAACTGGGGGAATGGGAGAAGGACAAGGGCTGAAAGGCACAGGAGGAAGAGATGGGCCCAGGCAAGGGAGCCTAAAGGGGTTGGGAGGGACGTGAAAACTGACTTGTGTCAAAATATAGAGATGCAATATTTGTAATCAGCATGGAACAAGACCTGAAAAATAGACTAGTCAGTTTACCCATGAAAAGGAATTTATTGGTTCACATAAGTAAAAAGTCCAGAGGTACTGCTGGTCTCCCACACACAGCTAGATCTAGGACACAGATGATGTCCTCAAAATGTATGTGTATCCTTTTGTTCTTTTTCTTTCTTCATTGGCTCCATTCTTGGGCAGCCCCTCAGGCAAGATGTCTACCGGGTAGCTGCAGGCTAGTGTCCTGCGAAGGGAGAATGCCTCCTTCCTGGGGGCACACCAAAGTCCAAGCCCTGACTCACTGGTTTGAATGGAATTGCCTTCTCACTGCTGACCATCCTGACTGACTGGCCACCAGGTGTAGAAGGGGTGGGGGGGCCACAGGAACTTGAGTAGGGGAGAGGTGAAGCTACAAGGGAAAACAGGTGTGTGCCCGGGAGTGGACGATGGAAACGGGCAAGGACTCCAAGGATACAGACCCCTGGTTTAAGTTAATGTTCTAGGCAGAGGGGACTTGATACATGATGTTGCATGCATAAGTCACTCTTTTCAATGTTTTTCAGCATCTCCATGATACGGTGAAGAGGAATCTTGATAGCGCTACCTCCCCTCAGAATGGTGATCAGCAGAATGGCTATGGAGACCTCTTTCCTGGGCATAAGAAGACACGCCGGGAAGCCCCTCTGGGAGTGGCTGTCCCTGCCAATGGCCTGCCTCCAGCCTCCCCCCGGGGGCAGCCTGACAAGCCTCCTGGTGGAGATGCCCTCCAGCCCAGCGGGAAGCACTCGCTGGCCCTTGACTCTGTCAATAAGAAGTGTCTGGCTGACTCGAGTCTCCACTTGAACGGAGGCAGTAACCCCAGTGAGTCCTTCCCTATGAGCTTGAACAAAGAGCTGAAGCAAGAGCCTGTTGATGACCTTCCTTGCATGATTGCTGGGGCTGGGGGCTCCATATCACAGAGCAACCTCATGCCTGACCTGAACCTGAATGAACAGGAGTGGAAGGAGCTCATCGAGGAGCTGAACCGGTCAGTGCCCGACGAAGACATGAAGGATCTCTTCAATGAGGACTTTGAAGAGAAGAAGGACCCTGAGTCTTCAAGTTCTAACACACAGACCCCCTTGG